GCATTCACCTGACTGGTAGGAGGCCGTAAATATGTGTATGTGAGTGTGACTTTGACGCTCTTTGACCTGTGTGTGTGCACGTGCGTGCAGGGGTGTGTGCGTGGATGCCTGGGCGCACGCAGGCACAATTTGTCCGCACTTCCGACAAGCAACTGCCCGTAAAGCTTCATCCCAACCATATACCTGCCTGTCCGCTTACCCACTCGCCCGTCTGCTTACTTGCGGAAACGGTAGGTTAATGCCTTGGCCCTTTAGCAATTAAAAAATTCACCTACCCACCGTTTGATCGAAGCAACGACACGCCTCGGGCCTAGTCCTGACTGATTTGTAGAAGAGAGGATAGCAAGTTGCAGCTCCACTTAACAATACATCTTAGCAATCCAGGATTTTCTAATTTAGGTGAACAGCGTGGGGGATTGTGAGTGTTCAAAGCAGGAAACGGAGGTGTACCGCATCCATCGCATTACCCAAAAATCCGGGAGTTAACGTCACGATACATAAAAACACCGGATGCTTAAGGAATAAAAAGACGCCTCTCAAGCCGATGCCAATTCTTGATCACCCGTGAGAGTCTTTGAGAAATGAAACTGAGGCAGTGGGGGTAAATAATCCTAAATATCATTGCAGAAACCAGGAACATGGCACATTTGCTTAATTGCACATTATCGGAAGTTAATAAAAAAGCGCGTCAATCAAACATGGTTCCTGTAATGCGCAAAAAAGCTGTAATGAAATCCATTTTATTACCCATAACCATCAAATATTTTCATGTTCAACACATGTTAAACTGCAGCACACGTTTGTCACTACTGATTTATTGAATACAATCAAAAATCTACTAAAATAGTAGTTAAGGTGTTGTTTTTATCAATAAAACGAGCGCAAGTTGCATCATACCTCAATGCCATTATAAAACGCAATGCAGGAACTATGCCCGCATTTCCATTAATTACATAATAATCAATCCTTCATTTCACCAAGTATTAAAAATTAAATATGGGTTTTAAAGCAAGACAATCCATAGGCATTGGACATGTTCAAACGCAAAAGGCATAAAGTTTCTCTAAAAAGTGTTATCTCCACTTATCCAACATTGCTTAAAATTCACGAATTAATATTTTGTCCTTGTCTCATGGCGAATAGGTTTTACACAGTCTTTAAAATCCACCAAAGCAAATCAGTAAGACTAAAAAAACCTGCTTTTAATTACGCACAAAATTAGGTAAAGCAAACATCTTAGTTACTGTACAACTTTATTTATTTGTATATTATGTAGGTATATAGAAATTTAACAAATAAATGCAATTGTGCCTTGGAAAACTCAGCAAAATATGACCTAATTTATGCAGAAACAAAGCAAAGTGATAAAAAACGTTTAAAATACCTGGCTAGATAAGAACAACTTAATCGTTTGACGGTATGAAGGGAAAATTATTGTGCATATATTTCACCCAACCAGCAAACAGTTATTGTGTCTTTAGGAAGCAAATACCTAACCAAAAACAAGTTGTTAGTTATGACTTTGTTTGTAACGCAAAAAGGCATTGCTCTAGGTTGATTCAACCAATTTTCAAAGATTTTATGTTATTATTCGGCACACACAATGGAAACAAAGAAAAGAAAGATAGAAGACATTTTCTGCCTAAAACATGTCTTTAAAAGTCACTCACTTTTAACAACTCGATCATCCCCTGCATTTTTCGGAGGAGAACTCGGCATCCTTGTCCAAAAAGTCACTACCTTAAATTGGCGATTGGCCTTTCCGAACCACGCGGCTTTATCGTCTGGGCTTGAGACCTAGTATTTTGGCTAATGCAAACGCAAAGGTCATCATAAAATTACGTGTGATTTTATTCGTTGTAAGGAATGTTAAAATAGAGTAAAAGTAAAATATTTAGCTAAATAGTATTTTATGTTGCAAAGTGATGCAGTTAAATGACAACAACTGCAACTAAATGATTTTTTTGTAAACTGGCTCATAAATGATTCAGGCACCCAAAGTCTCTACACCTTCTTTTAGTGGTTTTATTTCACTCTTATTAAAATTCTGTTTGGCAGAAGTAGGTCTTGACAAGTTAAAGAGAATCTACTAAGCTTTAGCATACCTTGGAACTTCATTGCTTACGCACTTACCTTCAACTTTGAACCTTCTGATCCGGGAGAGTGATTTGTGCTAAACATAACATACTGAACAGCTTTGAAATATTAGGGAACAGACTGTTGTTATTTGGTGGATTGATGGATGGATTGATAAGTTGGCGAAGATGGCGATGTCGACGGTAGCAGGGAGAATTGTCAGTCTTGCACACGATTGATTGTGTGAGAGCAATGCATGATTTGCAAAATATTGTGATTTTTACCTGTTTACGAATTTGGTTCTTCCGCTTTTAGATGAATTACGCAATGATTGTGATAGAATAAATGTAATAATTCGAAATCGGTTTGGAAGCCTTCCGTTCAAGGCCACTCGGGTAAATAATATCACATGACTAAAGTTAAGAAACTGCATAGTAGCGCTGATTCTAATACCCCTTTATTTTTTCTGACTCATTTGCGCCAAAATCAGTACTTGTTTTGAAATTCTCCTCTCAATTTTAACTTGATTCCAGCACAGCGTCCTACATCCGCCACTATTACTACTAACACATTAAAGTAGAACGAAGGCAAACCCACGTAGTTCCCTTAATCTGCAGTATTTTCAGAATTTAGTTGTGGTCAAGGCCAAATGAGATAGACCTGGCGTCAAATTACTGGTTCCCGTTTTATGACAACTTCACTTTACCAGTGGAATGTCAGTTTGTTTATCACCAAATGGAAGGGGAGTCGCCACTCCTGTTCTATTTATGGGATAATACTGAGTAGCCCTTAGCAAATTCGCTGCTATGCGACATTCTACATCATGCTGGGTGGTAATTATCACAATTCTTGTTAAAGCATTAGCTTTTTGCCTTCATAATGTCGGAGCAAACTTTACATTCAATAAAGAATTTGACAAATGTTCAAAATTCCATCCCATTTAGCACCCCTTTTTATGATTGGGAAAATTTTTAACCCCTCTGTACCTGCACCCAATCAACAAGGATTGATTCCTTCATCGAGAAAGCGCAGACATCCAGGGGGCAACCCCCCCTTGACAGGCTCCCCCCCAAGCTGAGTCGGACGAGCCTCAACCCCTGGCATGCCGCCGAATTGTGTGCGCCGCCCGAGCCCAAACTTGCTCGTACCATTGACAACACACATGCGTGCGTGTGTATGTGCCAGTGAATTTCACACTTGCCTGCCCTTCTTCCCAGTCGGCCAATCGCGTTGCAGCATTACGTATTGAACACCAATGGAACAGCCAATCACAAGTGGAGGAGGAGGTGCACACATGCACCTGCGCCCCAGTGGACGGCTCGAGGTTGCGTGGTGCGTGAGTGTGCGTGCGTGCGTATCATTGTGGGATAGAGCGAGAGAGAGGGAGCGTAGACGAGAGAGAGCCAGTCAAGCAGCCAGTCAGGCGGTGGGGAGTTTTCTGCTTTTCCCAGCCAGGCAAGATAGAGGCTAGCGAACGATTGTGTGTAAGGTAATACGAGTGAGGGCGAGTTAGTGAAAAAGTGCAGTGAAATTGAGTGGAGTGAAACTAACCAAACCACAGCGTTTCGGATTTAAACGACGCCCCCTCCCATCACTCACCACTGTCATCAGTCGTCGTGGCCTTTTCGAAGCTCTCTCTCTCTCTCTCTTGCCTTCGCCTCATCATGGGATGTACACTATCAAAGGAGGAGCGTGATGCCCTCGAGCAGAGCCGTAATATCGACAAAAAACTGAAGGAGGATGGCATGCAAGCCGCCAAGGATGTTAAACTTCTCCTTCTCGGTGGGTCCTTTCACCACTTTTAAAACCTAGTTTCTTTATCCGAAACTAGCCCCATTTACTTCCACGATGTCGTTAGCGTTTAATCCATTGGAGCCAACCGGTTTGAGCAAATTTTAGTCGTGTAGTTCTGCGATTACTTCAGTGCTCTAACTGCTCCTCAATTCAGACGATAATTTTGGTAGTCCTCGTCCATTTGGTTTTGTCAGATGGAATTTTTTTACATTGCCAAATCCTTTTTTTGAAAACTCGTCTTCAACAATGGATCGGATTTACTACTAACAAGTCAGAAACACCAAACCTCAATCCTTCTCCTTGTGGTTGTTTATTTTTTTAGACGTTTAATGAGTACATTACGAAAAGCCAGGGGAAAGTCGACCACCACAGTCCAGACCTTTTATCCCCGTTTTTCTGTTTTCAATCCAATACATTTTATAAACAGATGTGTCACATATGTGTGACATGGTCGGCGGGATGAGGTGATAAGATCGGGTGGTACGCAGCAAATGCGTTAAAATCGATTTTTCGGGTCGCCTACTTTATCTTTAGTTTGTTTCCTAATTTGCCTTTCGAGCGCCATGACATGAAGCGCAGTTTACTTGTCCAACTGGCTGTTTCGGCCACCCCGAAATGGACAAGCGTCCGCGTCCTACGATCTGTGTTATTTCAAATTCCTCCTAGGCCTCCTCCAGGGGACAAGAACAGACAAAATGACCTTGTTCTAATTTTTATGTGTGTGGTGGGATTACGTGTGGATGTGTGTGACGCAGATTGCCTCGACAGCGGCTAGCAGGAGAGAGCCTACAGTTGTCTACCCACATTATAATTATGACCCGAAAACGCGTTCCCGACTTGGATTATCACACAAAACCCACCCATAATTTAAAGGTCTCTCGGGAAACAATGCTTGGATTCCACAATCCATCTCGCCCAAATTGGAAAAAAATGGTGTTTTTTCATGACTGGACAAAAGGTGTTGGGAAAAAGCTGTTTAGTGCGAACTCATCACACGTTATTCGAAGTCGGAATGGATGTCCAAAATTTTCACCTACAGTAATTAGGGGTCAACCGACATACTTACATCTACCCAAAAGAGGAGGTCTACTTCTTGTCACATTTTGGTTTATGCTTTTTCACCGATAAGGTAAAATTTTCTTAACATATAAATATTTAAGGCCTTTTCCACCTTCTGATAAAGGACTTAACTTGATCTTTTTTATTCAAGGTGCCGGCGAGTCGGGCAAGAGCACAATTGTGAAACAGATGAAGTGAGTGCCTCCTGCTTTTCTCCTTCCCTCCCTTTGTTTGCACAGCCTTGGATTCACGTTTTGTACGCGCATTTGTTGTGAAGGGATGCGGGGCTGGCAAAAGTGTAAACGCTAGGGCCTAGAACTAGCGACAGCGGCGATTAATTGCCGGGACACACTGCATTTAATGCATCCGCGGGTGGAATGGGATTTAGTGAGTGGGTGGGATGGATGATTTGCGATAGCATCATTTTACAATCCCTCCTCCAATTCGCCCCTTCTCGATGATTTGCTGGTTACTGCTGCGCTTCACCGCGCCTCCACCCTAAGAGCGTGCACAAATGAAAGGGAAAAGCCTTTCAATGCCACATTTTAAAGGAAATTCCATTGTTACTTTAATGGCGGACTGGAAATGGATTTGACCTCTCCACAGAACCGTGACTCATTTGTGATTGGTTAATGGCATTCATGCATGATCGGAGTACGTATGTGGGCGAAGTACAATCAGTTCCGCATTATTTGCACCTGTTTTCCCCAGAAGTGATTTACTGAGACGTTAAAAGGTTTCCATTTGTCTCCAAATTCACATTTAATTGTTGCGTAGCTGTCGTAACGTCATTGCTACAACTGCTGATAAATTGTAACCAAGGCGTGAAGATTAAGCTTGATTCCTTTTCCCTTTCAAAACGACCTCGAATTACCCTTTTTGGAAGCTGTAAAAATTGCATTGAATAAGGCACCTTTATGGGTTACACGCCTTCGTAAGCACTAAATATTTGTCTTCCTGACTGAGGTTTGCAACACCTTTCTAGATGCCTGAGCTTGCGCCAGAACTATGTACTGGATGTTACCACTGTGATAAAACAGTAGATGTGTTGGTGTGCCCCGTGGTGGTGACGCTGTTTTCCCCTTTTCTTAAAGGATCATTCATGAGGGTGGTTTCACTCAAGAAGACAATAAGCAGCACAAACCCGTTGTCTACAGCAACACCATTCAGTCCATGGCGGCTATCCTGCGGGCGATGAATACCCTCGGCATTCCATTCGGTGATCCTGTCCAGTGTGTAAGCATTTGCCTCCTTCCTGTGATCGGGTTGTAGGGGTGATAAAGTTGGATTTTGACCACTTTTTAATGCACTAAAATAGCCCGAGGATGCACGAGTTGTGAGCGACGTGATTCAGGCGATGCAAGACACAGAACCCTTTTCCGAAGAACTCCTAGAAGCTATGAAACGACTTTGGGCGGACCCCGGTGTCCAGCAGTGCTTTGTGCGGTCAAATGAGTATCAACTCAATGACTCCGCAAAGTAGTAAGTCCTCCTCTTTCCCTCCCGATGGTTGCGTTCAGTCTACGGGTGACACCGGTTTTCTCAATAAACGACCTTCCTGACCTTTTGTTATTCAGCTTCCTCGACGATTTGGATCGGTTGGGAGCAAAGGACTACCGACCCACAGAACAGGACATCCTGCGAACGCGAGTTAAAACCACCGGTATCGTTGAAGTTCACTTCCAATTTAAAAACATGAATTTCAAGTAAGTTCACGCCGTTGTTGGGCTACAGTAAGCTCGGAGGAAAAAGTATCATGGCTTAATTTTTTGGTAC